ACCAGCATGTGCCTTTATGAACGAATCTGCTAACATGGCAAAAGAATCGATGTAATTTGGTGGTAAATTGTGATACCAGATCATTTCTCCCTTCGAGAGGGTCTCACCGAACTTTTTCAACAACACAGATTCGATCTCATTGTCCTCCAAATCGTTACCTTTTATGGCACATGTGTAAGAGGTGACATATTCGTTAGGATCGGTTGTACCGTTATATTTGGGAATTTCGGGCATATAGAATTTTTTGGTGATTGGTTTTGGTGTCGCACTCGAGGGAAAAGGCTTTTGTATGAATTTTTTTGAATCAAGCCCTTTTATCATTGGTGGAGCCTCCGGGATTTGATCGACCCTGGTATTGTATGTTTCCACTCTCCTGTCGTTGGCTTCGACTCATTTTGTGAGTTCCTCTAGCAATTTAGTAATTTTGGGAGTGGTCCCCGATTCTTGTTCGTTTGATGTCACTATGGCGGGCTCCGTTCTGGGGGGTGATTTCTCGAAGCGGATTGGAATCCGGCCTGGTTTGTATATGAGTTTGGCTATGTAACCGAGCTATCGCTACTTGTTGGGTTTGTAGTATCTCGAAGATTATACGCAAGCTGGCCCCGACTTCCCCCGCGTTATAGGTGTCTCGGGCTACGGATCGAGTACCGCCTTGAATGCTTCTTTCCGGTTCGGAACGCTAATTCGCCTCCAGAGCTATTTGTGAATTGACATCCAATGGTACTTCGGCTCGAATTTCGGGTACTTCGATTCGAGCCTCAGTGCCATCGTCAAGTGGCCTTCCGGCCCCGGGTGCCAAGTTGTTAGTTTCATCTTGAAGGCCGGCTTCGTGGTCGATAGGTAAAGCCATTGCTGATTTGAATTTGTAAGTTGGTGTGTACTGTAGATTTATACCAAACAATCACTGTTATCCTTAGCCCCACAGTGGGCGCCAAACTGTTTACCCGAAAAATCAAATAATGTTAAATTTATGTATGATTCTAAGGATACGTAATACCCTTTGATATAAAAATAACAATACAAGTATTTTGATTATGAAAATGACAATGATGAACAAAAAGAATGAATAAGATCTAGTAAAACAAGCACAAGGAGATATCTTTGTATATGAGAAAGGATCTTTTTGTTCCAATCTATTCTGTGTGTCCAGTCTGTCCATAGTTTACAATGATTCCCCATTTTATAGTAGAGGGTCATTACAAAAAATAATAAAATAAAATATATAGTGGAGGACCCATGATGATTTGTCTCTTTCTCGATTCCCGCCAAGATTCTCTCTCTTGTTGCGGTTGCTACGACTCTTGTAGGTGAGCTCGATACTGGCTCGAACTCGTTACTGGGTCGAGCCCTTCGTTCTTGGCTCGAGTTCGACCTTCGGGATGGGCGTCGTGCATTTCCGACCTCGAAGCAGTGCCTTGCGGATCGATTCGGTCACAAGCTTGATAAGGTTATCGAGCCGGTGCCTCGAGCAACCCTCGGACTCGAGGCTCGTTAGTACTGACTTTGGAGCTCACTCCCAAAATCTCACTCCGACTTCTTACCACTTGAATTCGATCGAACGTAGGAAGGCCGAAATCTATTTTGACCGTATAAAGATAGTCTCCTGCAAATGGTGTCCTATTCAATTTTTTTTTGGTTTATGAATCCTACTTTTTGTGTGTATTTGAAAACGCTTCTATAAAAGGAGTTACATTTCCAAAGTTATTCATAAACTTTGTCGAATGTCGAAGTCGTAGCTGATTTATTCAATCTCCAGCCTTGTATGTTTTCAGGCTCTCTTTTTTAAGCCATTTTTTTTCTTTCCGCAACATTGTGTATATAGAAGAAGCAGAACAAAGAATCTGAGTTAGATTGATTTGTGTATTATGCTATTCACCTTGATTTTTGCAATAACATTCTGAGAGAACTAAGAATAAAGTGATTGATATTTGGTTCTTTTTATTTGGTTGATTTAATACAAATTTTTTTGCGGTCAACTATATAAGTTGATGCTCTTCAAAATCTGTAGATGATCGGTTGGTGGATTAAATTATCTGCAATTGCATTTATTTGTTTTGCAAATTACATTAATAGGTTATTTTATATTCTTTTGTCTTTCATCAGTTAAAGAGGATTCTCTTCCGTTTTTTTGTTGTTTCTAAATGTCTATGATTACTCTGGATCTTACCTTAAAGAGTAGGATTATTTAGATTTTTTTTCGTTTTATATAGCAGAAGTCCAATGGCACTTAAGTCCTTTTGATAAATTTGTTTAAGTAAAATGTTTGAATTGGAAAAGGTAAAGAAAAAAATCCATATAAGTGAAAAAAACAAAGGAGAAACTTATTATATTTAACATATTAGGTATCTTTGTTCTATCTTTTCTTTTCGATAACAATTTGGGTATAAATATATGATAGTTTGAGATTGTATTCTTAAAATCTTTTATACCAACGTCATAAAGTTGCACTTTCAACGTTGGGCTAAATTTGTTGCAACATATTGTTATGGACAATTGTATATTGTACTTTGAAGAGAAATATCATATCAATAATAAATTTTTTTGGTTATGACAAAGCAGCCGAAGCAACATAAAGAAACGTAGACTAAAAACATCGCCTATAAAAATATATTAGATGGATGCATCAAACATAGCCTTTAGTTATCTCATAAAATAAACCAGCTTTATTTATAAATACAATATACTATACTATACTAAATTATTCATTGTTGCAAGTTTAGAAGTATTTTGAATGCACCAACTCGTTCAATGTAATAATATTATTTTGTCATTTAAATGAATGTTGTATTTATTATAACGTCTATTGCTATTTTATATAATTTATTCCTTTTGTATATAACTTTTAGTTTATTGACACGTGCAACATGTGCACTAAAACTAGTAGGTGTAAAAAAGAGTAAATTGGTCTCTAAAGGTAACTTGGTTACCAAGTAAACAGGAAAATTTAGAGAATATTGTAGAGTTGTACGGGGAGGGGAAATTTGGGAAATTGGTAATACCATATCTTGTTATATCCTGTAATTTTTATTACAGATTATACTCCTTTTCTTGTTTGTATACCCTTTTATTTTTTAACATAAATTTTTTTAATACCATCGTAACTAATGTACACAAGTCTCAAGCATTTTAAATTTATTTGACGATTACAATTTGAACTGTAATATAATGTTCCTCAATTATTACTTTGTAATAATACTGAAATATATATGGCGCCACGTAAGAAGGAAAAAAAAATAAACAAGTAACACCTATCTATTATTTGAAATAAAAGCAAAAGTATCATATAATGGGTTCACGTGAACTCATGCTTCTATCTTTAAACCATGTATAACAATGTTATATTTTTTTTAAAAAATTACTTAAATATATGTGCATACACCCATGCCAAAGACTCCTATGGTGCAATAATTATCGGGTGCACTTTTACAAGTAAAATTGGCGGTTCAAAATTTTACTCCACACGGTCTTGTTTTCGGCACAAAGTATAAATATATTTGTGAAATTCACTAAAATTTCAATTTGGACCTATAATTTTAAAAGGGAAAAATTACACTGTATAGCCACTATAAAAATAATAGCCGAAAAATGTATAAAATTTATATATTCTTTGTATTTATATACATTCTGTATGTTATATACAAAAATTATACAAGTTTTATACACTTTTTCGGCTAGTTTCTGACGCAGACTAAAAATGATAATACCCTTTTTAAAAGTGTAGTGGGTTTATTTGTAAGAGATCACTAAAGTTAAACCCGTCAAATACAAATTCTAGATCCATCTCTTTATAATAGTGTACCCATCTTGCAAAAGCAATTTTTAGAAACCAATATTGTTTAGTGCCTATTAACTTCCTATAGCTATCATATATATAATTACTTCCTATAGCTACTATTCAGTTATTACGGTAGTATATTTGTTGTATTAGCATTGTTGTATTCATGAATACAGCAGCAAAAAGCGCCTAAAAATCAGGGTAGTCCACCTGTACACGCATGTATTCACATGTATTCGCGCCATGTATTCATGAATACAACAGCAAAAAGCGCCTAAAATCAGGGTAGTCCAGCTGTACACGTATGTATTCACATGTATTAGCGCTACTGTATTCATGAATACAACAGTAAAAAATGCCTAAAATCATGGCAGTCCAGTTGTACACGCATGTATTCACATGTATTCGCGCCATGTATTCATGAATACAACAGCAAAAAGCGCCTAAAATCAGGGTAGTCCAGCTGTACACGTATGTATTCACATGTATTAGCGCTACTGTATTCATGAATACAACAGTAAAAAATGCCTAAAATCATGGCAGTCCAGTTGTACACGCATGTATTCACATGTATTCACGCCATGTATTCATGAATACAACAGCAAAAAGCGCCTAAAATCAGGCAGTCCAGCTGTACGCGCATGTATTCGCGCTGCTGTATTCATGATACAACAGTAAAAAGTGCCTAAAATCAGGGCAGTCTAACTGTACGCGCATGTATTCACATGTGTTCGCGCCATGTATTCATGAATGCAGTAACAACAATCACCTTAAAAATAGGTATGTCCAACTGCCTAAGAGAGGAAAAAACATAAATAGCGTATTTCATGCCTCAATGGTAGTATATATCATAAATACTTAGTATTTTGCTATAAAATATAAAAGATAGCTATAAAAAATAATATTTTAAAATAATTTTGATTTATAATAAATAGGGTGTATACCTTTACTATAGGAGGTAAAATTCCATATTTCAATTGTGGTAATCGAACCCTTTGAAATGTCATTAGTACAAGAGATCACAGAATGAATTCAACCGATCTCTATCATTAAAGCAGTTGCTTTGAAAAATAGTTGCTCCATTGTAGCCAACCAAATTCACAAACTAGATCTAAAAGAATGATGATGTTAAAGTTAAACCCTTAAACGCCTTCGTACACCATTTTCTCTTTTATTCCAAGCTTTCAGTTGGTCTCATTGCCATAGAAACGAAATCTGGACAATGTAAATATCCTATGCTGATCTCATTAACGAAAGTGAGTCGAGAAGTACTGATTTGTCAGATAAGAGTTAGTGACAGTAGAAATATTTACAACAATTTTACACTTAAACGTCAGCCACAAACATCTTAACTAAGCTTTTCACTATTTGTAACTTTCGTGGTAGCAAGTCCATTACCTAATGCACTTGATACAAACTAAATTGATATTCACAAGAAGGTGGCAGCAACCATGATTTTACTTCCAGGTGAAGCAGCTCATTTTGTAGGAGTTAAAAGTGGAACAAAACCTGGAGGAAAGTCATCAACTGGTTCCCTTTTAATATCTACACGAGGAAGTTCCTTACCACCCTTTGAGGTTCTTGAAACAAGAGTAACTGATTCAGACCGATTGCAGATAGCAGCACTAACAGTTTCTTTAAAAGAGCTATCACATCCATTTTTGGAAGTAATCTTCGGGACACAAATGTCCATCCTACCTATATTTTCTCCAGCGACCATGTCTATCTCCATGTCATCCTCATTGGCTTCTTGTAAAGAGCTATCAAAGCCATTTCCTGATGTAATCTTCGAGACACAAATATCCACCCTACCTACATTTTCTCCAGCTATCATGTCTATCTCCATGTCAACCTCATTGGATGTACAGATAACTTCCCCACCTATCATGTCTATCCCCATATCACTCACTTCGTTGCTGCCCCCTTCAGCCCATCCAACTTTATCTTGTCTTGCGTGGTGAAATAATCCCCACAGAAAGTGCTCGCTGTTGAATCCTGCAAGAACAACCACACGGTGAAATGCAGCTCCAGAATTATCAGATAATCTTCTTAGAAGTATTGTCTTTTGAAGGGTAAGTCAGTCTTCCAAAATTTTAGTGAACCACAATAACTAAAGTATGCCTCAAGGGAGTTACATTCTGCTACAAATAGTCCTAATAGCATAATTCAAGCCCTATAAGAGGAACTGCTAGGTGTCCATTCTCTCGCATACATAAGAAAGCAAATTAGTAGGCTTATATATATATCTTTTCCTTTTCCTAATGGAGAAAATACGAAAAGAAGGCAAGTGTGGGATATATATAGAAGGCAAGCGTGGGATATATGTATAGCTTTTCTTACACGTGTAGGGTTATATACACAGCACACATTGTCTTTGACTTTTACATGCCTGCGTCGAGATAAACTTACATCAAGGCCGCCCACCAACTGCAGAAAACATAATCCAAGTTGCACATTTTTCAGCCCCAGTGTGCAATAAAAGATTAGATAACTGATCTGGTCTCTGTCATGAGAATGTACATTCAGTACTTCTACTGAGTTCTACAGCTAGGCCTCTGGATGAATTAAAGCATATATACTTGATGAAACCAAACAAGATCCCCCACTTAAAAAGGCATAATCTTAGAGAGGTAAATTGATCTTCTTATGTATTACCTAAATTGATCTTCTTATGTATTACCTAAACGAAATATTGAAAGGGAATAAGGTAATGAGAAAAGAATATAGCTATTATCAGTGTACGACTGTACGTCGAGAATCATTGCACAGGGTTGTGGATGCAAGTACAAGCAGCTCAACATCATGTCCAAACGCTCTCATCACCAAATCTTTGACATGCATGAACTCCACCAGAGCAATATATTTCTCAGACCTACAATTAATGGGAAATACAAATAAATTTCTAGTAAAAACCTTCCTGGGCAAGGGGCGCCACTTCTGCTTTGCGACCCTTACCCTTTGCCGGTAGAGATATTAAGGCAGAAACTGACCTTTCTCTCTCACTTGCAAAGAAATACAGTCCTATGTCTTCTTTACCCGGATAACGATTGTGGAATAAACTTGACCAGATATGCCCACGTGGAACTAGTTCAAATTGAAGAGTATCAGGCAACAGCCTCGAGAACTCATACACCTTACGTCTAACTCTTGAAGGAGGATAAGCCTGGATCGGATCTTTGGGCATCTCAGGTTTAAGATCACCAAAGATGACAAAACTTCCCCTAAAATGCAAAGAGGAAAAGAAAGACATATAATTATAGGGAATAGAGCATGGATTCCTATTGAATGGTGCAAATTCCTCAAGTAAAAGAAACATCGAATCTTCAATATATATGTAGTCTGCAGAATAATGAAAGGGAAACTTTTCTGTTTTTTACGCATGACAAAAGACATATTTGACTTCCAAGGACACAAAAAGATCCATTCAAACAATAGCTCAGACGAAAAAACAGAGAGAGAGAGTTTAGAAAATTAACTTGCAGAAGTGATTTTTTTTCCGAAAATAAACAATACGTGGCTCCCATTTAACCTACAAATAATTGTTTTCCATATATGAAAACATAAGATGGCCATGATACAATGACGTCAAGGAATGTCACAACTCCCAACTATGTAGGAGCAGAAAGTCTTTCCCATAGTTGGGCATATATTTTATCAGTGCCGTATTACTATTGTTTTTGTTTGTGGGTGGGTGGGGGTTGGATACTGTTGGCGTCCCGACCAGTTTGATCGCACCTTAACTAATTCACCGGCAACCTACCATCCCACAGGCACAGATTCCCAGGGGAATGCTGCCCACCATGGCTAGAACAGATGGGGGAACCAAGTGTTGTAGCTAGGATTCAAACCTGGGATCTCCAAGTTGTTACACTATGCATCAACCACTAGGCCATCCCCTGGGGGACTAACATTCCATTATGAACTAAAAAGTATATGTTTCCTTACTCGTCAATGGGGAACTTACAGAGAAAAGGCCAATCAATCAGCCGACAACCAGCCATAAAAAAAGCTAGCATGCAAAAATAGAGATGAGCTGAATTTACCCAGGGACTATGTTAATTAATGTTGGTAATTAATGTGCATGATGAAGGGTACTTACTTCCAGGAAGGAACTCCAGCTGGATCACAAGGGTGTGTCTTAGGTGGAATCATCATTGGACTCGCATTCACAGCATCCGGGCTCCTAAACTCCAGAATGGTAGAACCATCACAACCTTAAAAGTAGGCTACATCAGTTGGATGGAAGTACAAAAGTAAATAAATTTTGCTAACAAAGCTTTACTGATATACCTAGAGTCTGTTGGATGGTGTAAGGAAAATCATTTCCAAAGAGAATATTCAACTCTAGATATATCAACGTCATTCATTTAAATTTTAATTGAGTATATGATAGAAGGTGAAATTTCTGATGAGTAAAAGATATATGAAGAGAATGAATCAGAACAAGTTAAGAGTACAAGAGCAGTCTCTGAACACTTAAACCTTTAGATGATTGACCTGGTTTCTTGGTCATTTCAGTGATTTTGGCATTTTGAGGATTCTGAGGTTTCAAACATCCTGCTGCACCTAAAGAACGCTGCACTGTACTCTTCTCAGGAAAAGAATTTGGAATTTGAGCTCTAGGCTTGTTAAAATTCCTCCCAGCCACAGTTGCCATGGATTTGGCTGATACAGGTCCCAAGGAGCCAGTAATTTTCAGCAGAGATCCATATTTCGTGACGCCTGATGATAGGCCAAGTGCTTCTTCAACAGACAGATATCTTGTTTTCCCAGTCTGTACCTCCTTTTCCCAGTTAATACAATGCCCACTGGGAAACTTTTTTGGTTTCTTGGGTCGCACAGTGCTGTGACCAATCTTTGCAGTGGCATGTAACTTGGATCCCTCAGATAACTTATTTTCGGGTCCAGGTGATGAAGACGCTTTTTTCTTGCCAATATCACATTCTTCACAACACCAATCCTTTGGTGCATCTTCAGAATAGGCCAGCACACAATACCTGAAAGTATGAGAAAAGCAAACTTTCAAAAGCGGGAAACGGACCATGTGCGCAGAGAAGACAGACATTATTTAATAGAATTTCTGTTCAAACAAGTACGGATTTTATAGATGACAAAAAAAGCAAGCATAGACACAGTGCTTGTAGATTACATAATCTGGTATCCCCCTAGTACAAAAACAAAAAGAGAGGATTCCTTCTGCACAAGAATCTTATTCCTGTAGAGAACGGATGTAGTCTACATGCTATTTCATCCTTTACATCTTGAACATTGCACCAAAAAGCCAAAAACCATATACATCTAAACTTTCAATTATTTAGGAGAATTGAATGTCACATCATGCTAATGAAAGAATCTAAGTGTCCCTTAAGAGGAACCCAAAATCCAATACCCTTTAGGATCCGGCAGTGGAAGAATCCAGAAAGACCAAACAACTAGAAGGGGTCTTTATTCTCTCTAAGAGGTTATATCAATTTCATTTAGGCTTTTTGTTCCATTATACTCTTAATCCCCACTTAAAATTCCAAAAAAGGGGAAGAAAAGCTGGCAATCTAACTAGCAAATTCCTTCTAAGAGGAGCAGACCCTTGTGTGGAAATCAACTTCTCACTTAAAAATGGCAAATCACCCAAAAGAGAAGGGGTTTGGGATCGGGAAGTTTGTTCGTAAATCTATGGTTTCTTAGGAAAATGTTTGAGGTTTACAAATAACATATAGTTATGGCACAAGGTGATTACAAGCAACAACAACAACCCAGTGGAATCCCACAAGTGGGGTATGGGGAGGGTAGTGTGTACGCAGACCTTACCCCTACCTATGAAGGTAGAGAGGTTGTTTCCGAAAGACCCTCGGCTCAAGAACTTAAAAAAGAAATGGAAGGTGATTACAAGCAAGTAAGAATTAAGAGAGTCATGGCATACAGCTTTCTGCCCGAGTGTCCACCCTTTCATGTTAGCAAACGAGAGAGAGAGAGAGAGAGAGAGAGAGAGAGAGAGAGAGAGAGAGAGAGAGAGATAGATAGATAGATAGAGAGAGAGCTTACTGATGGACATGAACATTTTTACACTGACAGCAGGTAATAATTGCTTCTTGAACACCAACATCACCGCAATTTCCACAAATTGTTTCCTGCAAGTTCATACAGAAAACACAAAAAATTCAGAAGCTGATTGAATCCAGCTTAATTGAAGATCTTATTGCCTTCTAGTTTTCGCAATGAACAAGCAACTTGGTGCTATCAAAATGCTCCTTTTTTTTTATATCAAGTTTCTACAAAAATTGCTCCCTTCAGCTTCTTTTGTTGCACGGAATAAGATTACCATATGAATAGAATGAAGAACGAGGAAACAAAATAGCATTATTTACACAAAGCTAAATCATAATCAGCAAAATCAAGTTTTCGTCGTCTTTGAGCTCACATACTTATCTTCCACTGTGAATCCTCCTTTTGCACCATATGCATATTCACCAGTGTATTCCAATTAAGTCCATATTACTTTCCCAGAATATTCTTGGTTACATTCTATTCAAACAGAAACACCGAATACTCTTGGTTACATTCTATCCAAACAGAAACACCTCCGGTACTCCTTGCAGAAGCACTTGAACAGAGTAAATAACTGTAAAAGCACACTACCAGTTTTCTTTCTGCCATTGTAAATAAATGACATAAGCAATTCGATTTGCTTCTCTTTTGTAGTTATACCATTGGACACAATCTATGTTGCGCTATCAACATCCTCCCTTACATCTTCTTTTGGACCGGAAAGGAGATTTTTCAGAACAATGAAGAAGGCCTGTTGTAGTTAGAGAAGAAATTCCTAAATGCACAAAATAAAGCTCTCCAATCTATTTGTCCATCTAACAATGTACTCTATCATATAGTAATGTTTATCTTTGCAGCAAAAAGAAAGAAAAAGAAAAACCTAACTGTAGTGCAGTACTCATTGATGTTAAACTATTTTAACCAGGTTGACTCTTCGAGTAAAACATCCTAAACACTAGCTAAATATTATTCCACATCTGCTAATACATGCACAGAGGTATTACTAGTAGAACAAGGTATAAGCAAACATTCTTAGTAGCGAAAAAGCAACAGAATATCTGAACATGAGGCAAGCATTGAGTAAAAATAGATCAGGATATGGGACTATTGAATTGCACTCAAGCTAAATTAGGACTTGGAACAATTAAATTGCACTCATATAATAGATGCAGGAGTAGCCACAGTTGCATGCATCGGTTGCTGCTTTGTAGTATTTCCGCTCTCCAAACCAGGTTTCTTGCAACAACTCAAATCATCAACCTATGCAGCAGGACCGCATTTCCATTGACCTTTACTGCTCCAAACATTCCTTTACTCTAGAATAGAAGGGGGTGGTTGACTCAGACAAATGTACTTGAGCCCGAGAGGTCAATTTGGTATTAAAGAGTATGCTGAAAGTGCACGAAACTCAGAACTTTTAAACTGTCAACATCTTAAAGAAGACTATCCATTCACTCTTTTCCAGTTATAAAGATGTTAAGTCAGAGATGCTTGGCAGTCTTGCTCTCTCACATAATTCTGAAGTGGTTAACTAGAAAGCCAGAGGACAGTTATCATCAAGGAGTAACATATCGGAAGAACAAAAGCTTGAAAAAGATCAAAAACGTCTTTAAGACAATTTAGCTTCACATTAAGCCAATGAAGTTGGAAGATTTCCAAAAAACTAATGAGGTTTGGTAAATGCCTGTAATATATATGGAGAATCAAGAGAAGCTCATCTATAGGGTCAATAGATGATATAAGACAATGAACAACCTTTAAGATAAGCTAGCTTATTTGCAAGTCCAATTTGCAGCTACGTGGTGAAGCATTTAACTCTTGCTAAAGACTCTCTTCTTCTCACTTCCCTTTGCACCTATTCACAAGTGCAATTGTCCCCAAAAATAAATAGAGAAAGAAAAAAGCGTGATATAAGACAATTTTTGATATAAAACAGTGTATCTTATGGAGGGCCATCCTAGAAATGTATAATTTACATAAGGAATTCTCCGGGAAATAATTGATCCTGGCAACAGCAACCAAGCAAATAAAATTTGGATTACAGAAACTAGGTGACCAAATTCGGTTGAAACGTGATGATAATGAAAATAGTACCATGCTACGAGTCACTATGACAAAACAAAGGCTATATTATAGCGGTAGAACAAGGTGATGAGCACAATTAGCAAGAAATGGCATTGTTTGATAATTGAATGCTAGAGATGGCAATTCAATGTAAAGTAACTATAATTTAGCATTTATTGTACATACAGAAGGACCCAACTCACATAAGCATATTGATTGCTAGTGACTAATGGAGATAAAATTGAAGCTGCTAATAGTTGTGGGACAGCAATATATGTCATAGATCACAAAAGTTGATACATTGTTTGACGATCAAATCCAGAATTTTATTACCAAGCTGTTGATGAAGAGAAAAGGGCAATGTTGTGAGTTAAATTGTTAAGGTTTTGTGTCAATCTGGTTGCCTTACTGATATAGAAGATGTTACTATAGCACTGAATTCAAGCTTCTTATAAAAGGAAAACATACCAGACAAACTTACTTGAGAGTAGTAAATTTGAGAAAGTTAATATTGTCTATTCTCGGCAAGTGCAACATGTCACCCCTTACATCTGATGGACTATATTAATATTTGGAATATAAAGATACTATCCATCAAAGACTGTTTACCATAGGAAAATCATCTAGTGAGCTGGTCAAACGTACCAAATATTTGTACCACACGGTATGGCCCTCAAACAACAATGTCTATCATGTTGCGGAAGCCAAATGTATATAGTGTGAATGAGTCACAACTACTATACCAAAAATTATGACAACCACTAAATAATAAACAAGACAATAAGACAACAATAAAAGAACACCAGAATTTACGAGGTTCGGCCAATTTTGCCTACTTTCTCGGACACAATCAATATTTTATTCCACTCCAATTTTACAAGTGAAATAATACTAAAGAGAGAAGATACAAATGCCTTAAGAAGATAAGAAAAAAGGCAAATGAGAGGTGTACTTAAATCCTAAACATTAGGCCTCCTTTTATAGGGTGAAATTCCCATTCAAAATTGTCATCCACCGATGTGGGACTTTTGACAATTTCAACA